TTATCTTGTAATGTTTGATAACAAGTATAAAGTAAGTTTGACTATTAATTCTCCCCCCCCCCATTACTCTCCCCTAGCTATATATATATATTGAACTCTCACAACCAGATCTTGTCATATTTTCTTCAATTGGTTCCATTTCTATAACTATTCCATCTTAATACTTCTTCAACCTCATTACCTTTGAAGTAAGTTCTTGTTGCTTTCTTTATCAGTTATCTATGGCTTAGATTGATACATAATATATATATGGTTTCAACAGTTCCACCATGCTAGCAAATTTGTTTATTCTGATTCAACTCTCTCTCATTTCCATTGATATATATTTTGCAGAAGGAACCTTCAATGGCCAGTTCTGTGGATTTACTCAACTTTACTAACGAGGCTGCGCAAAAGGTCAGTGAAGTACTGAAATCAAGTAAAATATGTTGTTTCAGATGATGATGATTCTGTAAAGTCGTTAGATGGCTTTTGATTGATCTGCAAACTGTTATATATAGCATCCATGAATCAGAAATAGTTACTTATTATTTTCATTTTGATCAAACAAAAAAAAAAAAAAAAAAAAAAAAAAAAAACAGCGCCGCGAGAGGAGACAACAGATGCACCGGAGAATCAGAAACTGCAAACCGAAACTTATATGAAAGTCGAACAGAAGGCGATAGCTGGTAAAAGTAAGGCATCCCTTATTAGAAAGAGCACAGGAGGGTGGAAATTTGCAAGCCTCTTACTAGGTACCAATAATGAATGATAATCACTTTCTTATTTTCGTTCTTTTAATATATTTATGATGTTCTTGTTGGTCTTGTCTTGTGCAGTGAATCAAGGGCTAGCAACTCTAGCTTTCTTTGGTGTTGGTGTGAACTTGGTTTTGTTTTTAACCAGAGTTCTTGATCAAGAGAATGCCGTTGCCGCCAACAGTGTCAGCAAGTGGACTGGAACTGTTTATTTGTGCTCCTTAATTGGTGCATTTCTCAGTGATTCGTACTGGGGTCGTTACTTAACCTGCGCAATCTTTCAGCTCATCTTCGCAGTGGTAATTAATTTATTATTATTTTTTATTGTAAAGTATATATATTCTTTGAAGTGAATGAAAATTGATGTTGCCTTAAATTAAATATCAGGGCTTGGTGCTGTTATCTCTTTCATCTTGGCTCTTCTTGTTCCACCCTTCTGGTTGTGGTGATGGAGAAATAGTGTGCATGCCTGCATCCCCAGTAGGTGTTGCTATCTTTTACTTGTCCATATATTTGGTTGCATTTGGATATGGCGGGTACCAGCCAACTATAGCAACCTTTGGAGCTGACCAATTTGATGAGGCAAATCCTAAAGAGGGAGCTTCAAAAGCAGTTTTCTTTTGCTATTTCTACTTTGCACTCAATGTTGGGTCTCTTTTCTCAAACACCATATTGGTCTATTATGAGGATACTGGCAAATGGACTCTGGGGTTTGTGGTGTCATTGGGGTCTGCTATCATAGCCCTTTTGTCCTTTTTGTTAGGGACACCAGGGTATAGGTACCTAAAACCATGTGGCAACCCTTTGCCACGTGTCGCTCAGGTATTCGTCGCTGCAGCTAGGAAATGGGATATTGTTCCAGTAAACTCGGACGACCTGTATGAGGTGGAAGGACCAGACTCTGCAATCAAAGGGAGTAGAAAGATTTACCACAGCAATGAGATTGAGTAAGTATCAGACTTTTCATCTGTACAAACTTTACAGTAAAAAGTCTTTCAAATCGTACCATGTACTACAAATTACTCAATACATAGTAAATAAATAAGACAACATATAGAAATTTTCGAGATCCACATAGCACTTGTCTAAAGTACTTAAACTAAATTGGTTCTTAATTTGATCAGGTTTTTGGACAAGGCAGCAACAATCACTGAGGATGATCTGTGTGGCCCTAAGAATCCATGGAGGCTCTGCACCGTAACTCAAGTCGAGGAAGCCAAATGCGTCCTGAAAATGCTACCCATTTGGCTTTGCACTATAATTTACTCTGTGGTCTTCACACAAATGGCTTCCCTTTTTGTAGAGCAAGGGGATGTGATGAAATCCAACTTTGGAAATTTTCACCTCCCAGCTGCTAGCATGTCTGCTTTTGATATATGCAGTGTCCTCATCTGCACTGGAATTTATCGCCAAGTGCTTGTGCCTTTAGCTGGAAAGCTGAGTGGGAACACCAAAGGGATATCCGAGCTTAAGCGCATGGGGATAGGGCTCGTTATTGGCATGCTGGCAATGGTCGCAGCTGGTGCCACAGAGATTGCAAGGCTCAAGCATGTGCTGCCTGGTGAGAAAATAAGCTCTCTGAACATATTTTGGCAAATTCCACAGTATGTTCTTGTTGGTGCTTCTGAGGTTTTTATGTACGTTGGTCAACTTGAATTCTTCAATGGACAAGCCCCCGATGGGATAAAAAGCTTCGGAAGTTCACTCTGCATGGCTTCAATGTCGCTTGGGAATTACGCGAGCAGCTTTCTGGTTAACATGGTAATGGGAATTACGGCTAGAGGTAAAGACCCTGGTTGGATCCCAGATGATCTGAACAGAGGTCACTTGGACAGATTCTACTTCCTAATTGCAGCATTAACAGCTTTCGACTTTGTAATTTACGTGTTTTGTGCTAAGTGGTACAAGTCCATTAACCTTGAGGGCTCTGAGAAGGAAATTCAGATCATTGAAATTGAACAAGATGTGGTGCTCAGAAGAGTTTAGGCATCTTAATTAGTACTTGGCATAAGTTTAAGAAATAATCTTTGTGTACTGCATAAGAGGAGAGAGCATGACCTCTTATTTATTGCAGAAGAGAAATGATTGCTTTCCTAAATAGTGTAACATGCTTTTGCCAAGTTAAGAAGGTTAAGTAATAAATAAGTTTGTTTAGGCTGGCAGCTTTGGCTTGCATTGTAAGTTTCAAACATTTTGGTAGAGCAAATGGAATTAGTGGATATTTTGGTAAATTGCCATGTACTGCTTTTGAATTCTTGGAAAGTGATTGCAGCTTTGGATTCCTTCTAGGGAGGAAAGTGATCGAACTTACAGATTGGTCATCATGAAAATGGTAATTCTCAGGATGCATGATTCAGATATGTCTGCTCTGCAGTGGTACTGCTAAGTGAGCACTATGAAAATGGACCAAAACATGTACGCATGTATTAAAAACGTTGTAGAATGATATTTTGTATGTGAAGTGAAGCAATAGGACAAATTATCCTTTTGGAAGACTAAGACCTCACCACACAGCCTGTCTTACCAAAGTTGAGGTTTCATAGTTAGAGTCAACCACACGTGGAACCTGAAAAACCCACACACACAAAAAAAAACTCACATTGAGTGTCAGGAAATGATAACATGTCGATACGTTTTGTTGGCGATAATGATATCGACATCTTATCTATGCATACCAACAGTCCACTAGAGAATTCTATACAGACATATATAATATTGTAGCTGGCTTCTCCCATGTTTATCTGTGTTTTCACATAAAGTGGGGAACTTCTGCATTGGATCCTTTACTGACAAGATAAAAGGGTCATCTTCTGGAAAACTGAACTATAAAGATTAAGACTTTGTGAAAATTCTATCGTTCTCTTTTCTTATGTATAGAGATGATGTGACACTACTATCACATATTAATATGGTTGTCTTAATTTCTGGCTATAATAAGAGCCCTATAATGGAGAGAGTGATTATATATATGAAGTTGATAGATAGATCTGTGGACATACGCTAAATACTACTGTGAATTTGGACGCAGTGACACCATTGCCAACACTATAAGCTTAGCTTAGGCTAGGACTCCTGTGGTTGCAACTGTCCATCTCCTACTTTCTACTATCACCCTAGCAATAGGATATGAATATGGTGCTAGCCACCTAGACGTGACTCTCAAGCTAATGCCTGAAAAAGCAGAGAGTATGAGAAAGCTTCTGGAATGTCAAATTAATTAGCAAAGCTTGCCTTAAGTTGCCATATGGGAAGGAAATGAAAAAACTAGTGAAAGTTCACCATCTATTATTACACATTAAGAATTACTTTGTTGATATGTTATTTTTACATATCTTTGCCACCACACGATGGCGGATTCAAGAAATTTTCATTCATGAGGAAAATAGAAGTCCTCACGTCATATTGCCTACTTGTCCTTGGCTCCATGCCCAGCCTCCGGCTCTTTGAGACATGTTATCGAACATATTACCCCCATGACAACTATAATAAAAGAGAATAACAAAATAATATAAGCAATTGTAATCACTGGTCCATATTGTGAGAAATTATTGTATGGTACTGGAATACAGTCACGTGGTATAATCTGTACACGTATTATAATATAAGTGAATTAATTATACCACGTCATCATACTCCTATAGTACACTATAATTACTCCCCTGTTTTAGATCGTAGACTCCTTTCAAATCAACTATCCCAAATTTATGGAAGTCTATACGATTTTTTAATTTTTTTATTTATCAAAAGGCCTGTAGGAAATTCTAAAGAACCCCATGTGAAGGAAATTCCAGTCTCATTAATTTTTTGTTTGTAAAATAAGCCCATGAATTTTATAAGGAGCCCATTAAATGAAATTGGTAGCCCGATCCAATAATTGGAAGCCGTACACGCATCCCATCTCATCATCCGAGATTCGGATTCGGATTCGGATTCCCAACAAAAGATGATTAAACGATAACGTCACACGGGGCGCACGTGACCCCCACCCCTCTATCACCGTCTCACAGATGACAGACCACAGTCGTCGTAGTAAGATAATTGCCAAAAAAAATCTGTCTATTTAAAAAAAATATATATTTATCAACCCCATTTAAATTGCAATTTCAAGTCCGTCCTTCCCTTTCCCCTCTTTCGCGAACCCTAGACAGTTCAATCTCTCCTCCTCTTTCTCCCTCTCCTTCTATCTCCTAGGGTTTTTATTTTTTTTGTTCTTTTACTTCTTCGTGGTTTCTGCCTCGCACGCTTCTCTCTCCTTGTGCTGTAATGGACTTTGGAGGTGGGCGCAAGAGAGGCAGGCCCGAAGCTGCCTCCTTTAATGGCAATGGCGGCTTCAAGAAATCCAAGCCAGGTTCGTCTTCACATTACTTTCAACCAGGCTCACCTGTTTTGTTTTGTTTTTTTATATTGTTGTACCACGCGCAGACATGTATGACATATGTATGTGTAAGTTTTATGCTTGTTCTGCTTTTGTGCATTTAGCTTTGCTTTTTACTTGGTTGGATTACTTTAGGAAGTGGAAGAAGAAATTAATTTGATGAAAATCTTAAATTAAGTGTGGAAAACGTTTAAGACAGTTTGAATCTCAAGTGTTAAGCTTCCTGGATTAATAGAATGAAGGAAAAGTATTTAAAAAGCATTGAATTTTTAGCTCAAGTTTAAAAAGTATTGAATTTGTAGCTCAGGTTAGTTTGGTACGGAAAATTTAAGAAAACGAAGTTTAATCGGTGATTTTTATTTTTATTTTTTTCAATTAATCAATTGGGCACTTGGGAAGCTAAGTTTATTGCTAGTTTTTTCTGCGTGAAATGCACATTAAAGGCATTAGCGTTCTTTGTAGTGGAGCTAGATTTAACATGATCTATTTCTTTTCGTCACTCCAAACTTGAAAATGAAAGGAAATTTTGTTTTTTGCTACTATCTCATTTAGGTGTTCATCTCTGTTTGCTGGGTAGATGGAGTGCAATTCAGAGTTAGCTATTGAGTGTTTGCAGGATATGTTTATTCCGTTTGGAGTTTGTTAGAACTTTTTTTTATTAAAAAAAACCCATGTATGTAGATAAGTGAAAGATAGTATCCACGGCTTTAAATGATTATTTTCTAATGACTGGCGAGGAGAGAAGGAAATGGAGAATCCTAAGTTCTCTTAACTTTCCTGTGAGAATGGAAACTTCAACTTATTTCTTGAAAGTAATATATTGAAAACCATAATTTTAAAATATGATTTAAGTTTTGTTTTTACCTCTTTGTTGGATTAAATAGTACAGGGTTTAGAGGTCTTTCTCTAATCAACAGTATAAGAGGGTTGTTCTTCGACTATTTGGATTCTTCAATGGAATTGGTGTTTTATATATCTTTTATTAGTGATAAAAATGGTAACGTCATGTTGAATATTGTTAAAGTTTTGAGGATTAATAACCCACTGTAAGCATAACTGAGGGAAATTAATTAATGTTCTGCAACAGAAATGGAGTCCTTTACAACTGGTATAGGAAGCAAATCGAAGCCATGCACAAAGTTTTTCAGGTTCTAATCTTAACCTATCTAAAATGAATACTCTAAATGTAATTTTGCATATTGATAATTTATATAAATTCAAGAAAGAGTTTGTTATCCAGTTTTTGTGAATAAAATATTTGCAATTTGGACTAATGAAATGGGCGGTCAAAGCTGTGATACAGGTTGAACTCTCTGTTCTAATCATGATAACAAAGACTGAACAGATATGGTTGAATGACAACAGCTCGATTAAATACGTACTGGATCCTATGTAATTTAATGTGGTTGTATGGGATGCAGAAGTTTCCTTTATATGGTGTTTATATTTAGCTTCTTTTATATTCTTTGCAACTGAAATCAAAGCAATTGGTCGCTAAGTTTTAAGACAGGTTATTTTATGTTCGGACTATGAAAAAAAAGCAAGTTGAATTGAGAATTCTGATTCATTATGAAGTCTAAGTCATGATCTCTTTCAAAAACTATGGGGACTCCACTTGCATTTTGTTAAACTGTGTGGGACGTAAAGCTTCTATTTAAACCGCCACTGTTCCTTGATCTCTTTCGAAAAGTTTTTTTCTTCTGTATTTCATTCACTGAATTTGTCCTAAGGTTTGTTTAGGATGAGGTCTAAGTCATGTTGGTATCTTTATATTGTAAGAGAGAGATCTTGTTGTGAATTATGCTACCTTTCCAATCACAGAATTCACTCGTAGAAGCTTGTCTTTTGATGCTTTATTTCTTTTTCATTTCAGTATGAGGTAAGAGTGGTGGTGAAGTAGTTGGCTAATAGAAGTTTGGCCTTGTATTCACCTTCTAAAAGAACATCTCTTCCATTGCTAATGAAGCATTTCTTGCCTGAGTTGGCTAAAGTTAAAAAATATACATAGTTCCAGACTTTTTAGGATTTTTCATACATTTCATAAGAGAAACCAATTGGCTTTTTTGTTTTGTTTTGGGGCAGTGATTCTGGTGAAGAATTTATTCTAAGTTTCGGTTTCCTTTTTCCTATATGTGCTACACAGCCTTGTCTCAGCGGAGTTTATATATAATACGTGCACTTTACCCCATTTCTGATCTGTATGCTTGTTTGTCAGATTCCCTGTAATTTTCTGTCATATTTGTGCTCAGAAGTTTTTGTTTTGTTTCTATACAGCACTTCTGGGTGCCCTTTTGGTGAGGGATGTCACTTCTTGCATTATGTTCCTGGCGGCATCAAAGCGGTGTCTCAGATGACTGGTAGCAACCCAACTCTTCCTCCTCCTCCTAGAAACTCAGCAGGCCCTCCATCATTTCCAGATGGTTCTTCTCCTCCATCTGTCAAGACCCGGTTGTGTAATAAGTACAACACAGTTGAAGGTTGCAAGTTTGGGGATAAATGCCATTTTGCGCATGGTGAGTGGGAGCTTGGGAGGCCCACTGCTCAGTCCTATGAAGATCCTCGTGGTGGGGGAGGATATCCAGGCAGGATGGGAGGGGGTCGGATGGAGCCTCCCCCGCAAACTCATGGAGCTGCAGCAAGATTTGGAGCCACTGCCACAGCTAAGATCAGCGTTGATGCTTCACTTGCTGGAGCCATAATTGGAAAAAATGGGGTGAACTCAAAGCAAATATGTCGTGTGACTGGGGCAAAGCTTTCTATAAGGGAGCATGAGTCAGATCCCAAGCTGAGAAACATTGAGCTCGAGGGTACCTTTGATCAAATTAAAGATGCCAGTGCCATGGTTCGTGAGCTTATTGTGAACGTGAGCTCAGCTGCTGGACCTCACATGAGGAACAACCCTGGTATGGCAGCTTCAGCGCCAGCAAGCAACTTCAAGACTAAGCTTTGTGAGAACTTTACTAAAGGCACATGCACGTTTGGGGATAGGTGCCACTTTGCACATGGACCAGAAGAATTGCGCAGGCAGGGGATGTGATTTCTTTCAATACCTCTCTCTTTCTCTCTCATGCCCTCTTACCATTCTCTCGTAGGATACGCTTATTACAGCATTAATTTTTGTGTTCGTTGAATTTTCCAAGAGTGCAGTTTCCTTAGTTTTCTAGGGTTTTAATATTGGGAAATTTTTATAGTAGCTTGCCATAGATCTCTACCTTGCCACTTTTGTCTTGTGGGATCACTCTCAGGTTTCTTGGTTGAACTAATCTAGCGATTAAGCGCAAGTTGCCAGTAGCATGTGAAGTGGCAAATGCTATTCTTGGTTGCTTTATTGTGTTAATTTTGTTTTCATCAGATTAAAAAAGAAAAAGTAAAAAGAGATGTTAGAGAGTTGTTATTCAAGTTTTTCATTTTATCGTTCTTTCATGCTTTATAACTTGCAGTCAAGTGAGCCATTGCCGTACAATAATAAGATTGGGCCATTCGACCCTGTTCTGGTCAAGTAGCTTACTAAGAATAAGAGACCCATGAAATGAAATGCAATTGGGGAAATGGATTAAACAAAATTGAACTCATATTGATAGTGAGCCCCTAGGTCGCAAGGCCATCTGCTCCAACAGTATGGAAGCGTAGGGTTGTGGTGGATTGGTACATATCTTATTATTATTTGGGGTTAATGATCTAAATGGTCTCCAAACTATTGCTCCAGTATCATTTTGGTCTACCAACTAAAATTTTCAATTCAAACGTCCTTAAACTTTTTATTTTGTACTAAGATGGTCCATCCATGACAGATTCTGTCACTTCTGATCATGCGATGGCCACGTGACTGAGTTTTGAAGGGTATATGCGACTTTTTGAGAAGCTTTGTCGAAGGGTATGGCTGAAATGGTCCCTCAACTACTGCTCCAGTATCATTTTGGTCCACCAACTAAAATTTTCATTTGAACCGTCCTTCCACTTTTTCTTTTGTATCAAGATGGTCCTATCGTCATAGTCCGTCAATTTTATTATTATTTATTTTTGTATTTATCTTATTTTTAAAATTTTAATTATTTTAAACAATAGAGAAAAAAATATTACTTTTTAAGTCCATGTCATCAAAAAGAAGCCATGTTGGTGGTGCGATTCAATTTTTTCAATTTTAAAATTAGTTACAAGTTCCTATAATAGTTTCCTTTAATTTTTAATTATTGTTTACTCTTTTAAAAAATTTGTTTTTATTTATTTATTTGATTTTAATTAATTTAAACAATAGATAATTTTTTATTATTAATTGTTAGGTCAGTCTCGCGAAAGAAAAGAAGAAGCCATGTGGCTAGTGAGATTCAATTTTTTAAAATTTCCTAAGTTTTATAATAGTTTCCTTTAATTTTTAATTATACATTACTATTTTAATTCATAGAGACATTTTTACTTCTCAATTTAACAATAAAATTGACAGACTTTAACAGTAGGACCATCTTGAAAAAAAAAAAAAAAAAAAAAAAAAAAAAGACGGTTTAAATGAAAATTTTAGTTGGTGGACCAAAATGATACTTGAGCAATAGTTGGGGGGACCATTGGGATCAATAATCTTTTTAGAGGAGGATATTCACCTAAAAATACGGTTTTGTCCCTCGATTTCACGGAATAATACACAGACTTTGACAGATGGACCATCTTGGTACAAAATAAAAAGTTTAAGGACGTTTGAATTGAAAATTTTAGTTGGTGGACCAAAATGATACTGGAGCAATAGTTGGAGGACCATTTAGGTCATTAACCCTTATTATTTGGTTAATTGGCCCTAATCTTAATCACAACTCTAAAGTAGAAATATAAGCAAAAGAAAGTTAATTTTTAATTTTTTTTTTTTTTTTTTTTTTTTTTTTTTGATTTTTCCTAGAATACCTTTCTTTTTCTCTTTTCTACGATGACGATAATATATAAACTCACACACAACACAGATGCTAGGACTCAAACCCAGGATCTTACATGGGGGAACAATTACTCCAAACAACTACACTAGTGGGTCCTTCGCATTAAGTCCTAATTCTTAAATAAAACTAAAATGAAGTAGATATATGACTCAGCACAATCCAATTCTATGAGTTTTAGTTTTGTGGGTCGAAAATTCAAACCCTATGGCGATTATTTCCTTATATATTCTTGAGAAATTTAAACTTATTAGTAACTAGGTTTTCATTCAACGAAAAGAACTCATACACTAAATGAATCCAAATCCTTCTAGGCTTTTGTTGAGGTTAATTTCATGCAAGTCAACTTGTTAAGATTTTAAGATCTATGATCTAGGGTTCCTATTAATTTATTAGGAAACCTAGTTTCTTTTAGCATATATATATATAAAGATAAATGATATGAGCAAATAGAAGACAGAGAAAACATAAATCCAAATAAATAACCATACTTAAAAAAGCCAACATTATCCATGGCTAATATATTGTCGTCCCAAAATAGAAGATAGAAGAAACTTAATAAAGTCATCGCAAACTTATAAGAATCACAAACCCAACTTATTAAAGCTTAAACAGTTTAGGGCTTGGGAATAAGCATCCACTCTAGACCTAAATCCAGATTACTAAAGCTTGGAGACCGCATGAAGCTGTTTGAAAGCTGCTCCCGCAGCCTGCTGCTCTGTTTCTTCTTTTTGCTTTATCTTTCGGAACCTGATCCCACACCGATTGCAAAGACTCTGCAAAAATAAAAACATCCAATTATTAAGTTCCAAAACAACAAGTGTAATATATCTATGAAAAATGCTAGGGAGACCATCGTTAGAGACCAACTTGTATACCATCTCTCCAATATAGGTGAGATATGTATACCTATTCAATTACTTTACGGACACCTTTTTGATCAATGATTCGGATTCATAGTCTAATAACAAAAAAATGAACTTGATTGTTTGATTTTGTGTAAAGCTTACCTTGGGGCCAAGGGGACCAGTACGCCACATGGGAGATTCGGTAACACGACAGTTATAGTTGGTGCAGGTTTTATCGATATCACCGACTTTAGCTGGACGGCGCCCAGTAGTCTTCCTCTTTCTCGAGCCACCAGTTTTTCCTCTTCTGTTGGATATGTTTATTATGCAGTAATTCTTCAACTCCGGTGGAGCTGGAAATTCATATTGCCTGTATCCATTAACGTTGAGATTGTTGAGGCTAGACCTATCGACGGCCTGCCAAACAATTTGTATGTGTAAAACAAATTAATCATCACTTTGAAATATCAGAGACCAAAAATTACACATGACTATTGTACATTAATTCAGAAGATAATAATATTAAAAAATAAAAATAAAAGTAATCATCATCATCATCATCTTAGCAATCATAATTGCATGGCTTCTCTATAATGAACATTTATTAATGGGTACGTAGGTAACATATATACGTACATTTCATTTTACAGATGAAATAATTGACTAGCTAAAACAACAAAAAATTCTGTCAAATTTGTATGAGATAATTATATGCCAAAAAAAAAAAAAAAAAAAAAGATTTATGGTATCTGCCATAGACTCAAGTCTCCACGACTTAGTTGTTTTTGCTAGAGAGATGAGCACTCGGAATACACAAACAACAAGAGAGAGAAGAATGTTCGAACTTGGTGATATTTGAGTCAAGTATTTTTACATGAATTAGATCTCCAGGTATAGGACTAAATTTGGTGGTTTCATTTCCTTAAGCATTGACAGCGGCGTTCACCTCTCGGAGGACAGCCAGTGAGGTGTTGCACCCACCCTGCGGCGGCTTTCCAAATAAAAAAGACGAACATTTAGGGTTTTAGGGGTACTTTAGGAATATTAGACCTTTTAATTAGCGGCGGCTATCAAAACTAAAAAGATTAACATTAGGGTTTAAGAGGTAGTTTAGGAAACTTATATTTTGTGACCCGGATGCAATAGCGTGTCACTCTAATAATTGTTGCACTAAAAAATAATACTAATGTTTACAATGTGTTTACGAAACATTTTAAGTGACAACGACAAATTTAACACATAAGGTATTGTCATTATATTTATTATACACTATTTGACCAATATATTTAGTAATAATTAAAACCGGGTAGCGGTAGTTATTGTCACTCTCTAGTACGGGTGGTAAATGAAAATGCAAATAGCACTCCTCGAACTGTATAAAAAACCTGATCCATGATAGATAGTAAAATAACCCCAAAAACTAGCACACATATATATATATATAGGGAAAAAGGTTAGGAAAATACCTGAGAGGTAGAAGAACCATTTGCAGTATGGGATTGTTGATCATTGTTTTTGTCGGAAGATGGTATTCCTAGCCTCAGCGTGAGGTCCACCAAACAATCCGTACCTCCTAGATTGGCTTCATGTTGATCAAAGTTGGTCATTTCGAAACCATTTTGAACACCTTTGGGATCCATATGTTTTCTCTGGAAATCGATCGTATCATATCAAAGTTAGATCTTTTAAGATAAGTAAGCCCATGGAGAGAGAGAGAGAGAGAGAGAGAGAGAGAGAGAGAGAGAGAGAGAGCTCTATCCAGTCATGCATGAAAGTTGAAACTGAAAGACATGATGGCGCAAAAACAGAGAATGATCTGGAAGGCTGACACACATACACACATACACACACAGTCTAGAAAGGGACAACATTTTCCATGAGTAGATACCAAAAGAACATCATTAAGACTGCAGATCTATCTAGGGTGTGAGAATGTGTGAGATCAGAATCAGATTTAGACAAGAACATCACTAGTAGTGTTACCTTTGATTCTAAACCTAGATATAAACGTGCATATATTTGAACTTTAGTCCTTTTATTAGGTATGTTATTTTGAATATATATACACGTTAGTACAAAGCTGTATATACATTCATATTCATAAGTACATTAATATATATATATATATCTAAAAATTCCTAAAAACAGGGAGAAACATAGAGGTACATGTAAATGTTATGCACAAATGTATCACAAATATATATATATATATACAGAAATTCTCCTATGCGGACCTCTGGATGTTATTATTGTACGGACATCATGTATTTTTTCACTACCCCTCATTGCTTTCCTCCCTGTTTACGATGGCATTCACACGATAACTACGTGTGGACATTCGGATGAGAGAATAATTTATATATATATATATATATATGAATTTTTAATTTGGGACAGGATCGGATAAACGCGATCAATATCAAAAGTGTTGAAAGGCACCAAAAGTGTGTCCCTGTTGCATATACACATAATAGATCATGAATCCCCTAACATATATACACATAAATCTTTTTTATATATTATACAAATGAACCAAAATATCCGATCCATACATATTTAACTTAATATTTATATAGATAATTAAAAATCTATAATTTTGACAACAAAAAAAATATCATGATCAAGATAAAAAATAAATGGATCTCCCATTTTTTCCCTTTTTGATCTGTTTTGATGTATGAAAGATCTACAACCCTTCCCTTTAAACGCCACAGCTATAGATATATAGATCGTTCATGAGAGAGAGAGAGAGAGAGAGAGAGAGAGAGAGAGAGAGGGTTGATCATGAGCAAATATTGATCTCCCCCTTTTCGACTCTCAACATCGATCAGTCACATAGCTACTGTATACACAAACAGACACACATTTGCACATCAAAAGGGTGATGAGAGAGAAAAAAAATGGAAGAAAAAGGAGAGACTTACAGGGCAGGAGAGTAGAAATCTAGTGATGCAAAATGGTGTTTGGTATAAGAGTTGGAGGCTATGAATGTGCTTGGAAGGGGAATGAAATGCCAAATTTATAGAAGTCGTCCCAGAAGGAAAAGGGATGGTCTTTTATGGAATGTCCAATAAAAAATCTTACGGAAAATTGTTTATACATGAATTCAATGCCAACAAAAATATTTATATACTTCTTTTTTTCTTTTTGATCTGTGAACAGCACCAAGCTTCACACACAGAAGTGTAAACATATATCAAGCTCAATACTTTGCATATATGACTATAATTTAGATTTTTTTTTATTTTTTATATAGAGTTGCAGGATAAAATGGACTTGGAAATTTGAATAAAATCCAATCAAATGGTTTGAATAACGCTCCAGGACCAGGATTAGGGTATATTTAAGGCTTTACAACACATCCAACAATTTTCTTTTGTTTTGGTAACCTTATAACGGGGGTTTGTCCGTACTACTATGCCTTATAACTTTTGGGCTGGCATGCCTCAAGCTATATATATATATATGTGTGTGTGTGTGTGTGTGAGGGTTGGTATGCTATAAAAAGATAATTTCTGTATTATTTGGACTTTTATATTTATATTTTTATTTTTGTCTCGTATTTATATCTGAGGGTTGGTGTCCTGACAAGATATAATGTCCTACCTTGTTTGAAAATTTATATATGGTAAAAGAGCTGGACCATACTCTGCATCTTCATCATATGATGAACTTACTGCAGGTTCACATACGCTTAAGCTTCATGTCACCCGTCACCTCATTGCCTATTTAGTAACTGGTGCCGTAGAACATTTGGCGTGTGTATTTTTCAACGAAAAAACACTTTTGTTTCTCATACACTTCTCAATCATACCGGAAAAAAACACACACACACACATTTTTTAAAACCATATGTATTATCCACATACATTTTTTAATGTTTCATATATATATTTTTTAATAATCCAACCATAATTCGTGTTATTTTTATTCATATTTTTCAGTCCCATCCTTTACTAACTATTCCTCATCCTTAATTTCCTTTATATTTACATATATACACACACAGAGAATATATATATAAAATTTATCAAACAGTCTCGTATATAAACTTCTGGAATCACCCCAATTTTCCTTAACAGTCACTTAAAAAAAAAAGAAAAAAAAAGAAGTAAATTAATGAAGTTCAAGCCACCACATAGAAAGGCAAATTTGTTGAAGGTGCTACGATTGTATGATAAATTGATGCAAAAAAAAAGAAAGAAAAGGGAAATTGACTTCAACGAGCTTATTCACTCTTTGAACTCCGTTGTAAAATAAGGAAAGATCAGAAACCTTTTTTTTTTTTGGGGTGGGGGTGGGGTTAGAAACGATCGATATATCGTAATTAAACTGGTATTTGTGTTTAATAAAACATGGAATAATAAGTACTTTTATTTTAAAAAAAGTTTTATTTGTTTGTTAAATCCCATATTCAAATATTAAATCCAAACACATAATTTAGTTTAGTGGTATTCCATGTTCAAAGTCCTATGGACGAAAATTTGAATACATTTGGTTGTTTATTTGTGAAGGTGTCAAATTTTATGAGGAAAGTAATATTGCCACTTGTCGTATAACTCGAAAGTGCAAGCTTTGTACAGAAAAACAGTTACGAAAAATGTAGACAAAATAACAAAGAAACTAGTCCCCTCTCTTATTATGGACGGAGCGTCTTGTTTTTTTGTTTTTTCAGTACAAGCGATTGAGGGAGGGGGATTTTGTATACTAACATTCTTTGGTGCTTGAGGATTTCGAACCTCTACCTACATGAGTTGAGGCCAAAAAGCTCAACCAACTGAGTTAGCATCTTGTTTAGATAGACAACGCACCTTTCCAAATTTTTGCAAAAGAAAGTTGTGCCATTAATAATTACTGGAAAGTTCTCCTAAGTTATAGTGTCTATTCAAAATTATTATTTGTCAACGTTTATATTTATAAAACATTCTTCCTATATTCGTGTCATGTTTTACAAGTTCTACCTTTTTTAAAAGAAAAGAATGGTGCAAAGGACTCACTAGTGTCGTGGTTTGGAGCAATTGTTCTTCCAGGAAAGGTCATAGGTTCGAGTCTTAGCATCTATGTAATATGTGTGTTTAGTATATTATTGCCCTTCTTAATAGAAAATGTCCTCAAAAGAAAAGAAAGGAAATATATTGTAGTATTTTAATAAAAACCACAATTTGTGTTGAGTTTAGGGCCTACGATATGGTGAACGAAGTTCGGGCAGAAGGCTTTGGGTTCAGAGGCTGTAACAGGGGGTTATAATGAGGGAGTCCTCAATCGTCATCCGATCAATTGCAGAACTATTATTGGACAGTTAGATTGAACTCTTCAGCACACCCCTCAACATAGCCACCTCATTACAGAAGCTCCAATAGAATTTGCTGTCTTGGTTCTAGTTCTAGAGTTTAGGGCCAGGCTTGGCGTCCAAGGTATAAGGACTAGGCCTTGAGGTGTGTGTGTTTGGTATCCAATGTCCGACTCCCATAAATTTGTCGTGGAAATTAGGAATAAAACCCTAGAAGTGCTAATAAGTACGAATACTTTTGTGTAACAAATATTTAAGGATAATAGACCCATGTTAACTACATAAGGAGACTCTTGGAGTCGGGCAGCAAAACCAACAACAAAGCGCAAAATGGATCTCTTCACATTGAACAAAATGAATTGACAAAAATGGTTTTCAGGGTCCAGAATGAAGACCACACTGCACAAGCTGTTTAAAGTACAATTATCATAATTACCGTTGAATGAAAAAGGATTTGACAAAACAAGGTAGACTATCTGGCATCACAAAGGATCCTTGGGTCTCTGTGCGAATGTCTTTTTGAAATGCTTTCTGAACCCTTCTGTTTTTTTTTTCCATAGGTGAGGAAGATGTCTAACTTTCATTGTTGCTGCCTTGAAGCATGCTGTGGGAGCAAGACGTAGGAGCTCTCTCGCAGATGACTTTCCGCCATTTGCCTCCTGCCCCCATTCCTAACAGCATCCGATTAGGCCTAGGCTTTAAGAGATTTATCTCCATTCGCCTTCTTTCTCTTCTTTGATCTTTTTGCTTGAGATTTTACATTCTTCTTTGATGTATTTGTAGAGTGTTTATGCTTCTTGCTTTCCAGTTTTGAAGGCGCTGGTTTCACCACTTCATCTTCCTCAGCCGAGAAGGTGTTGCTTAAAGACCCATCTTCTTCATCAGAACTGAGCACCAAGTCCTGAACAATATCTTCATCCATGGCTACTTGGTCCTGGTGCTCAGTCTTTCTCTTCCTTTTCTTCTTTTTCGTATCTTTGGGTTGTTTTGCCCTGCAAACCAATAATATTCCACCAGAAATATAAAACCAACAATTATTAGAAAAATGAGAGAGAGAGAGAGAGAGAATTATTGTAACCATACTTGGAATCGGTTCCTGGTAACCAGGATGAACTGAAGACAGTAGTGCCTTCCTCATCCTTGGGGTCATATTCTTCGTCACTTTCCCGTACTTTACTTCCAAATACAGATGAATGCTCCCCCACGAGAACACTGGAACCCATTTGCACGTTAGAAAATGATATACTAAAGACGATACCATGAATATGAACCTAATAGAAAATATGATCTCAGACCTGGATTCAAACAATGAATCATTTCTTTGTTGCGCTACTTGGCGTAGAGTTAAAATATACTTCGATAGAGGGCTTACCCCTGACTTTTTCTCATCCTATGACAACATATAAGGAATTCAGTTTCTCCAAGATTATATCAAAATTATATGAAACGAAGGGAAAAGCATTCAAGAAAGGGGTGACCAATGAATTACAACACAAATACCATTCATATGGGCTTATCAACAAATTACATCATGATAGACCTTTTTCAGATGACAAAAATGTTTGTTTGAAACATCTCTGTTCCAACAAGAAAGAAGTAGTTGTTTTGATTACGAAAAATATACCACTTTTCAAACACTGCACCAAACCAGCATGAGTTGAACTATGTTGACCGTGCAGTAATCAGCAGGCTGCTGATTTAGCATCAGCTATTTGTCTTTCATACCATTCAGACTATAATTATACTATGGAAAAAGAAACACCAATATCAAGCCAAGTAAAGCAGGGACAAGTAGCAACTCTTCTATCTGGTCTCACCATGCTTTATGATTATTGGCTGGTAGCAAAGTATAACACATAGAACATGTTTGATGGCAAACTCACAAAGGGAGAGAAAAAAAAAATTATGGAAAGTCCATACCTCCAAGAAAGATGCAGCTGCAGGATCATTTGGTAGAAAAGAAATTGACATACGCCTTTCATTTGTAAACTGACAGTTAGCCTCAATCTGGGGCACAGAATAGCTGAAACATTAGCTATGTGCACAAAGGCTTTCCCATATTTAAAGGATGCAATCATTAGCAGACAAAACATACCTGACGAATAAGCTCCCTCATTGCTTTCCGGAACCTCTCAACCTTGGTTGATTTGCAGAAGCTGCGCAATCGTACAGCTGGAATAAAAGACAACTCAGGGAAAGCAATAGAATAGCTCCACTGCGCCAAATGCTCAGCAAGCTCATCAACAACAGATAGCACACATGCCTCCTGAAATGCTCTGGTCTTCAGTGTTGGCTTGCTAACCTGAAAAAAAAAAGCATAATCCATAATCCACTTAAACAATACAAATGTAGTATTAGTTTGAAGCAGAGAATAATGTCGACACTCAAGTATACCTTAAGTATAGTACGCAAATCAAGAGCTTTGCCAACACCGCCTGTGGCAGGCCTATTCAGTTCTTTCATTTCAAGCATGTCCAAAAGTAGCATAGAAACCGGTGTGAAAGTACCCGTCGAAGCAGCAATTCGATTAAGCATTCTAACACACCTCAATCTAAGGGGAAAATATCTAGCAGTTGGAACTAGACGGGCTACCCCATAAATTATTTGGGCCAGGGGATACACAACAGGCCTAAAGTCGGCTTCTGAGCCGTAGGAAGAGATGGCCCCAGTCCAGAGCTCAAGGCAGTTCATGAACTTCCACTCATACACCTTTCGGAATGCTTCCTATAAGACACAAAACAGCATAAGTACAACACAAGAAACATAGTGCATCTGCTAGGTTTTGAAATAAATAAATTCTTAGATTTTATATAATATATAAAAAGCAATAGAAACTAAAATTTTGTAAAACGGAGGCAGAAGCTAGCATTTTTATTCAATGTGACCAAGAAAATCTTTTTGTTTTTATGTAAATAGAGGCAGCTTATGTAAACAGTCAATTTTTCAGATAAGAATAACAAAATTGGTACGATGATCATTCTTAAGTCCAACTAAGATGTATGCTGCAACAGAAATGCAATAACATAACAAAGGGTAAACAATAATATCTAAAGGATTGTAATACCTTAGTTTTTGCATTGAGTGCTTCCCGCAAAATCATTGCTAATTGTCGAATGAAAACAAAGGCATGTTGATACGCAGTGGGAAGGTCTACACCATAGAGTTCAATTACACAATTTGCACGAAATTGGACATGTTGCAATTTTGCTGCAGTTATAAACTGGCAGTTCAAGACATAGGCTTTGTACATCCCCTTAAAGCATTCATCTAAGCAATCAGATCCAAGCCGAACACATAAATCTCTTAGAAACAGAAGGGAGACAAGAGGGAGGGAACCTCCCCCTAAACCCCATAAGTCTACAGCAGTCTGTGAAAAGTAATACAAATTATTTAGTTCCCACTTAACCAACATTAAAAAGAATACTATAAAGAGAAATATTAGGCGGTAAAAACCAAAAACAGATATCTATTCTGAATATAACCTACATGCCCACATATAATGGAATTGGAAATTTATATAGAATGTATTGATAGCAGTGACCACAACCTCAAGCTATATCCAAAGCACAGGCAGTAGAGTAGTAAATATATAACAACAAAGAAGAAAGTATTTCAAACAGAATATAAAATCATGTGTATCTCTGCACTTACCTTAATGTACTTCCTTAAGAGAACAGGAAAAGCAGCCAAAAATATGGACGAGTATTGAAGACGCCGTAAAGTAAATGATATCATTTCTGTGTCAGTCATTTGACGCAAGACATGTAAGGCATTTCCAAGATATGACTTCACTAAATGGTTGTAGTTCTTCCATCGTTTTGTGTTCATCGCATTTAGTATGGTCTCCTTCTTCCCACCAAAAGCAGGGAGCTCCAACAATTTTCGGATTATTCCATCCATTTCCTTAAGTACAAATAACATCACTTTATTAAAGACACTGCTAGACATAACACCGAAATCTAACATAGACTCATCCTCCTTATCGTCACCATAGTGGCAGGCAGTGCGGAAAGCTTTCATTAGAGAATGAATAGCACTCAACTTCCCATCTTCTCTAATTGAGTTGCACCAGGAATCAACCATTTCACTAGTTATAACTTTTTTAGATGGTTTCTTTTTCTTTTGTACAACATCATGACGGCCAGTCTCTTCATCCACTTGTATTTCATCATCTACCGGTGTTTCATCTTCTTTCAAGTTAGTATCTGAATCTTCCTGTGTAAAACAGGGACGGGCTTAATTTCATATGTAGCATTCCCTGAGTAACATTTAAAATATAAAAAGAAACTTTTGCATACTCACATCGATGTCCTCATCATTAAATTGTAGAAGTTCCTGGTCATGCTCTTTTAAGAAATCATAGAACTCTGGGTCCTGCAGGTTAAGAATCATTAATAACTTCATTACTTAAGTGTAATAGCATATAAAAAAACCACAAATACAAAGTCATAAAATCAAGAAGTTATCAGCCAACCACAGTTTCCTTAGTAGATGGCAAATGCAGGTAACACATTGAACTTTAAAGATTACATCCCGCATCCAATTAAAATCTGGGCCAAAGCAATTCAACCAAAATAGCTACAGAGCCAAAAAGTTGTTATGGAATAACAAACAAATGAAACAACTTTGAAATTGATATCTCAGAAATGTAACCCAACCTCCCACCAAATCAAATCCTAACTTAAGTATGAAAGCTGCAAACTTACATTCTCAAGTGCATATTCTTATATACTCAGATACGCATATGCATATAAACATTAACAAAAATACACAAATATGAATACACGTCACAAATTATGGCCAAAAAAAAAATGTACACAGTAAAAATCACATATACTTGTATAAATGGCAAAACAGAAGTTCTAACCTTTTCACTAAGTCTTTCCAGTTGGTCCTTATGCTCTTTCGCCTGACCTGGAGACTTGGAGCTTTTCTGGCTTTTGTTCCCATCTTGTCTTTTTCGACTTTTCGAATTTGTCACTGAGATTACAATTAAAGCAGTGGAATTTTAATACTTAAAAGTAAACATCAGCTTGAATATGCATGAAGCACAAACACAGATAGAATAAGAAAACTGTTGCACAGAGAGAGAGAGAGAGAGAGAGAGAGAGAGAGAACCTGGGTGTTGTTCTTCCATGACGATAAAGGGTTCCTGCAAACGAAAAAATAAAAACGGGAGCTGAGAGGCTTTTTTTTCTTTTCTTTTTTTTGGAGCTGAGAGGCTTAATTCAATCTTCAATTGAAAAACCTGTGCATCGGAAACACACCAATCCAAACACGGAATTTTGAGAACATGAAAAGGAGAAGGAAATTTACCTTAACCTCTTTGCTCCAACTCTGAGAAACGACCACCAAAAACCCTAACGTTCAGTTTTGAGGTTTTGACTATTTCCTTGACTTTCTCTCCATTAGCTTGTTTGGGTTAGAGCCTCAGCATCAAGCTTTTGGGCCGGGCTTAAACGCCATGGTACCAAAGAAAGAAAAATTAAATGAAGTGGCCCAAATTAGGTGGGTCTATTTAAATTTATAAGGGGAAAAATCTATTTTGCCCATTTTTGTTTAAGAGCGCACTACCGCCACCTAGACAATCGGCGATCACCCATTAAGATTACCTCCGGCAGCCACGTAACCAACCAAACTAAGCCTTATTTATAATATTATTGTTGAATACCAACGTACATTTTTCTTTTTGTTACATAAATTATCATTTCTCTTATGAAATTATAAAATTACACAATTATTCACTAATGAAAATAAACAAAAGATAAACCTTGCTATATATTTTCTTTAGGGAGTTTTGGTTTAAACTTAATAAATACTTTAATAATTTACTAACCTCTTGACACAAACAAGGTTGTTGTAATGTTTTGGGATCGAGGTTTCTATAAACGCCATTCCACCACATTGCTTCAACCTCTCTCTCCTCCGCTCCTTCTCCTATGTCCTCTTCGACCTAACCCGGGACGAAGTGTTCGTTCAAAAACCTAAGTCTAAGATGCCATGGTACAACAATTACTTCAACAACCCACCAGGCAGGCTCTTGGTTATTCTTGTCACTCTAACAGTCGGCTGGCCCTCGTATTTGGCTTTCAACATTTCGGGCCAGGAATACGACCGGTTTACATGCCACTACGATCTCAACGGCCCTATATTTTCCAACCGGGAGAGGCTTCAAGTACACATTTCTGACCTCGGGATCATGTCTGCTATTTATGTGCTCTATAAAATTGTCATGGCCAAAGGGTTTGCTTGGCTTGTTTGTGTTTATGGGGTGCCAATGATTGTGGGTTAATGTGTGTGTTGTGCTAATCACATACTTGTAGCACAGACATCCTTCGCTGCCGCACTACGGCGAGTCGGAATGGGATTGGCTGAGAGGGGCTTTGGTGACTGTGGACAGAGACTATGGGGTGCTTAACAAGGTGTTCCATAATAGTACAAATACACATGTTGTGCACCATCTCTTCTCTACAATTAATGCCGCATAATCATGCAATGGAAGCAACCAATGTGCTCAAGCCTATATTGGGAGAGTATTATAGTTTTGATGCAACTCCAATTTGGAAGGCTCTGTGGAGGGAGGCTAGAGAGTGCCTTTTTGTTGAACTTGATGAGGATGGTGCTCAAAACGGTGTGTTTTGGTACCGGAACAAGCTCTGATTGGGAGCAAAAGCTTTAAATAGTGTTGTTTTAAATGTAATATATGTTGTTTTAAATAGTGTCCATAAATAAGATACAAATTGGAAGGGTGCCGTATGTCCTATTTGTATCGAATAAATAAATAAAAGCATATAATTTACGAGATGTTATTTTTGACATATCTCTTCCAGTCATGTAAGAATTGACTACTCAATTGAATTGGAGTAAGTTTTTTTTTCTCCAAATGTTGACATTTCATGCCCGTACACATCAAATAATTAATATCTCATTTGGAGACGCTCTAATAAACAAATTAACAGTGACTTGGTCCATATAATTATAAATGGCATGCGACAGTAAACCCTTGTATTAGGAGATGGAACAAAAATAAGACATAACATAAGTTAGTAATAACATTGGTTGGAACTTGGACGACTAGTTATCCTTTCTTTAGGAAGATGCGCTATATATTCCCATTATTAATTTATTATGCATCGGGTCTCACCAGGATTTTTAATATCAGAAAGACATGAATTAAAGAGTTCATAGATATGGAAGCTGTTTTCAGATAACTCATCTGATCTTTGGTTTACTTTATTTTTATATATAACAACTTGCAACCTCCAAATTTGAATAATATAAAAATGGCATTAAGAAAAAACTTGCTCATGAAAACTGTGTACATCTCCAGCTTTTAGTTTTAGATTGCCAAATCACTTGTTTGAATTTCTCTCAAAGAAAAATCTAAAAGGTATAATGGAGAATTTGAAAAAAGCCAAACCCAGTATAGCCGGGCAGCTGTACTATTTATTAAAAAAAATATATATATATATATAATTTTGGTAAGTTCAACCACTATATAATATTTTAATATGGTTACTGATTTTCCCACTCACTTTTTATCCACTTACACTCCATTTTTCTAAACAAAAAGGAGTGTAGGTGGATAAAAAGGGAGTAGGAAAATTATTTACCTTTAATATATACTATTTTTATTCAATAATATGTGAAAGTTATGTGTAAATTTTGTGTGTATTATTGAAAATTTTGTAAGTTTCACTGGGAGAGTTTCACTAGGACAAACATGTGCCAACAAACATTGGTCGAGATAGGTTTTTTTTTCATATAAGTATCTTTAGGTCAATAAACATTGGGCGGCTATACTCGATTTTTTCTAATTAAAAAAAAAAGTATAGCCAAATCCAAAGCCGAGCCTATAGCCAAGCCTATTAGCCCAACTCTCCAATGTTAACTGTACTTACCAAATCATCATAGTACTTTGTTTATAAACACCTTTATAGGAGTGTGGATTTTCAATTTGGGATTTTCACAAAGGGCACCTCAAAAGATAAGCCTACAGAGAAATCTATATATTTTTCAATTGTTGGTGCAATGTGGAAATACATTTAAAGTGTATAGCCACCCGGCTATACTCTACAAAAATAATATTTTAAAGATCTAGTTGCACGGTTATACTCCGAAAATAGAATATTAAGCAATATAATTCATGAAGTTAATTAAAATATTTAATACTAATTATTCATTATAGAAATAATAATTAAAATATAATTACTAATTAATATATATTTGTATAATGTTTGCCTTCGTTTGAAGTAATTTTTCACTGTGGTGGTGTGGTTGCTACTTGCTATATAGTATTACACATTCACATATTATAACGTGTGTATATGTATTACTTCGAAGACAACAAAATATTTCTTTTTTCAATTTGATGAAATTTTTTATAAAAAAAATTGGTCAGGCAACCCCAATCTGCAATTATTCACCCAATATAATCTAAATTACGAGGATGATGATTCGAACTCCGGTGCAGAATGAGGAGCACCAGCTCTAGCCAACTTGGCTAAACACATCTACAAGCCATTACGCGTTATCAATCAAAACTGAATTAATTAAAAGGGAAAAACTACAAAGCAAATACAACAAAATTTGAACTCAAACATAAGAGAATAAGAGGCTAATTATTAAAAGATCAAAATTCTTTAAATTAATGTCTTTTATTGCCTAGAAGTAGGTCCCTCTTCATCTCCATCCTTCGACTTTTTTTCTTCTCGTTTCCCCAAAGGTTCTTCGATTCCTTTGGTACCTTCGTTAGTACTTGGCCCACTTGGACCATTGATACTCATGGTGGGGGGATTGGTTGCAGTGCGAGAAGATGAGCCATTCTCAAACCCTGGACTATGATGTACGTAGTCAAAGAATGAATCCCCGGGCTTGAATCTTTTTCCACTTGTTGCAGCTTCCAGTTTCCTTTTCTTTGCATGGGAGCTCATATGTCCCCCCAAGGCACTGCCGCTTGCAAACGACTTACCACACTCGAAGCACGTATACTCACCCATGGTTTTGGGCCGCCGGGGCTGAGACGACTTCGTTGCAATAGCAATAGAAGCGGCAGCAGCAACTGTCGTAGTAGTGCTTTCCCTCGCAACATGAGTTTGTTGGTGATCGTCTCGGGGTTCTTCTTTAATGATGGAAGAGGAAGTAGAAGGCTCATGATTTGGGACAAACTGCGATTGGGATGGAGTGGGAAATCGAGTGGCTCTTACTAGGGTTGGCAATGAAATTTGGTTGTCGCTCATGATGGATGCCCTTCCAATGTTGATATTGGAAGAGAACGACGGAGGTGGTCTAAATCTAGTTGCCGCATTCATGATGGGGTTAGGACTAATATTTCCATAATGATAGGTTTGTGAAGAACTTTGTTGGTTCCTCATGACTCCAGTGCGGCCATGGAATCCAGACAAAGTTGTAGGGCTTGAAATGTTATTTAAGGGGAAATGGGGTGCAGGTGCAAGTGCAACTCTAGGTGGTTGAAATCTCATAAAGTTGAGATTAAGGGTGTGGTTTGGAAATGTTGGACTGGTTTGGGTTGGTTGAACTGGAACATGAGTTTCCCTGATCATCATGTGTGGGTTGCTCATGATAAGGCCTGGTGGACGCGGTTGATATGATCTTATCATGGGGATCACGGGTCTATCTGGGAAGACCACTCCGCCCCAGTATGCAGGAGATGATGAGGATGATGATGGGGAATGAAGTAGATGCATGTTTTGGAAGCCTGATCTCACTGCAGGCAAGCCATTCAAACCATAAGTAGTGGTAATAATAGTTGTGGAGTAATTGGACCTGTAGACCATTTGTGTGTGGATGAGACCATTTGTATTGTTGATGCTGCCTATTTGGTTGTGAATGTCGCTTGGGAAAGCCATGGGTACTAATTAAAAGTTGGAGAGAGAGAGAGAGAGAGTTGTGCTGAGTGAGTAAGAGAGCATTGTGCCTCTGTACTGCTATATAGTCTTTGTCATGGCCCCATGAAGTTCGAGAGGGCTTGCATGAAAGGAAACTTAGTTACTACTTCTTAATGACTTAAGGTAACTTTTACCCTAAAAGCAAAGGGTTTTGCTGGCACAGGTCAAATGCATGTATATGATTGAGAAATTCATTTTCTCACAATTTGTGAAATCTAGAAAATGATATCCGGTGATTATGTATATATATGTGTGTGTGTGAAAAATCAAAATTAAAAAGAAAGACTTGATATCCGGTGATCCCAAAAACAAAAATGTGATGAGAATTTTAATTTTTACTAACCAAATTAGTTTAAAAAAAAATTATAATTGTTCTACCATTCAAACCCAACTTTTTGATTTAGCAGAGATTAACCAATGTAAAAAAAAACCTTCAAGTAATGAAAATGGCACAAATTAACCTCCACCTAGCTAATACAAAGCTGGTCGGCAACATGACACAAAATTAACCTAGGGAAGAAAATATTCAACTTATGGAAATAGTACAAATATTTCATAGTTTCCATTCAAGTACTGGGAGTAGCCAAGAATGCACATACATGTATCTGCAGTCATTTCTTTTTACAAATGCATTTAATTTGTGCACCTCTCTGAGGATATGCTCCACAGCTTTCATATGCCATGCATGGATTTCAGTTTTCTACAATTTACTCTTCTTCCTAATAAACCCAAAACATACGACTTTGGTCATATCACGAAAATATATTGATAAATGTATTACTCGTGGCAAAATCCATTAAACTTTTCTACCCAAAAAAGGAATTAATCCCTGGCTCTATATGTAGCACATATATACCTTATATGCCTCAAAATGGCTCTCGTAATATATATTAAATACAAATTGGTTCTAATTAAGTTTGAGATAAATATTCGGATTTTAGTAGAACAATATTGTTTTTAATTTATAAGTTGTGTTTTGGTATATGGATGCCCTTGGGTGTTTATGTTTTAAAATTTAGTTGTATTCAAATTGGCGCGAAGCGTTGACCGTTATATTAAAACATATGTATAACTTGAATTGAAGGCAACACTAATCGTTTTTTTAAATATAGAAACTTAGTTATAGTTAAATTGACGGCAACACAGACCGTTGTACAAAAGCTTAGTTGAAATTATAACTTAGTTATAATTACTTTAGCGGCAATATTATGTATAACCGTTATGAGCTAGTTATCAAACTACTATTAACAACGACGTATCTCTTTTTGTTGTAATGACCAAATCAAATCATTAAAATCAAAGCGAGCTAGAATACATTATCCAAAAGCCAAACGGTGAAAGTTTCAATGCGAGAAGATAGCCATTCTCAACCCTAGAATGTGGTCAGAGAATAATGAGTCCTCAGGCTTGAATCTGTTGCCATTTATTGCAGCTTCCAATTTGCTATTCCTTGTGTAGGTAAATGGCACTGCCACTTGCAAATGATTTGCCACACTCGAAGCACTAATGCTCACTCAGGGCTAGGGGCTCGGGCTATTGTTGAGACGACGTTGCTGCAACAACAACAGCAATATGAGATTGGCACTGCAGCTTGGTTGTTGCTCATGATGGTTGCCCTTCCAATATTGATATTGGATGAGAATGATGGAGGTGGTGCCCTATACATGATGGGGTTATGACTAATATTTACATAATGGTTTTGTGATGAGAAAGTTGTAGGGCTTGCAATATTATTTAGGGGGAAATGGGGTGCATGTGCAACTGCAGGTGGTTGAAATCTATTAAGATTGAGATTAAGGGTGCTGTTTGGAAATGTTGGACGGATTTGGGTTGGTTGAACTTCCATGATCATCCCATGTTGGTTGATCATGGCAATGTCAGGTCCACCTCGTGGACGTGGTTGATATGATCTCATCACAGGAATGACATGTGTATTTGGGAAGACTGGTATGCCCCGATATGCGTTGGATGATGAGGCATGAATCAGATGCAAGTTTTGGTAGCCTGATCTCACTGCAGGTAAGCCGTTCAAATCATAAGTAGTGCTAATAGCAGTATGAGCAGGGCTATAGGATGAGTTCAACACCCTTTGTGTATGTATGATATGGCTGTCATGATGAGATATATTGGGAATGGGCAAATGGATGTTGGTGGTTGAATATATGTGAGGGTGAGGGATTTGGTTGTACATGTCCTTTGGGAAATCCATGGGTACTAATTAAGAGTTTATGTAGAGGAGAGGACAGTGAGAGAGAGAGAACTAAAACAATGGGATTTCGAGAGTGTTGTGCTAAATAAGTGACTATTGTGCCCAATTGACTTGTACTATGTATTGTTATATAGACTTTTTCATGGGCCCGAGAGCCCACATATAGAAATGGGCATGAAAGCAAACTCGGTTAGTTTCTTTATGACTTAGGGCAACTTTTTTTGGTCCAAATGACTTAGGGTAACTTTAGCAAAGGGTTTGTTGGCACACCAATGCATGCATATGGGAAATTCATTTTCTTACCATTTGCAAATCTAGGAAATCCTATATGGTGATTTTATACATGGAAAATCCAAAAACAGAAGATGAGTTTTTGCACCTCTCTAAGGCTATGAGCTTTCATCCCGAGCCAGGGGCCAGGTATGAATACCATCCCCATCCCCACTTTCTATATCCGTCCTGTCTTTGCCACCGTTCTTGCTAAGAATTATCGGAGAATCCTCATTCCAGTCCCAACCCCGCCTAGAATTCCAGAATTCTTTTATATAAAAAGAATCCTGTATTATAACATTTATCTTTCACCTTAACCAATCATTTTATTATTGGATGGCCAACCCAACTAAAGGTCACAGGAAAAGCTTGGCCGCGGACTTGAAATTAATTTAATTCTTAAGTAAATTATCCCTCAACAAAATGGTAATGTTGTTTCTTTTTCCTTGACAACGCACATTCTCACCAACCATATAGTAATAGTACATTCAATTTGAGGTCAGATATGAAAATTATTGCAACATCCATAAGATTATCTGTTTTCTAGGCACATATATATGTAACCCTATATTATATATACCTGAAGACTTCTGGCTCCCACTTAAACATGGATGAAACTCATTAATTTCTTCATTTTGTGTATTAATTAAGTTCATAATAAGAACAACAACATTCTATATATCTAGTGGGCTCCATTGGGCTCAATAACAAAATGGGCTGGGCTCCATTGGGCCTACCCAGCCCACAATCCTAACTTTCAATTTATGAAAATGGCACAAATTAACCTCTCTCCACGTAGCTAATACAAAGTGGGTTGGCAATTTGGCACAAGATTAACCCTAGGTTATGGAAATGGTGCAAATATTTCATGCTTTCTATTGAAGGAAGGAGTAGCCAAGAATGTACATACATTGTATCTGCCGTCGTTTCTTTTTGGAAATGCGTTTAATTTTTGCACCTCTCTAAGACTATGAGCTTTCATATGCCATGCAAACAAACTGCATTAAATAAGTAGCCGGTTTTCAGTTTTCTTTTTAAAATTTACTCCTCCTCCTAATAAACCCAAAATGGACAGATTCCTGCTTATCACAAAAATAATGGCCTCGGTCACATCTGACTTGGCCACTCGTGGCAAAAACACATTAAAAATTTTAAACCAAAAAGGAAAACGTTACGGGCACCAACTTCTTCATTCCTGGCTCTATATATATAGCCCAATTCATTTACCTTATTTGCCTCACAACCCCTCTCATCATATATTGAACTCATTTGTCTTTCAATACACCCAAAAAAATTATTAATCTCTCTCTCTCTCTCTCTCTCTCTCTCTCTCTCAGCAGCCTTTCCCAAATTTGTTCAATCAATCAACCCAATGGCTTCCTCATTGTTTCGTTTTGGCCTTCACGATGAGACCATAGAAGCTACTCGACTTCGTTTGAGAAGTCATCCCAATTATTCTGCTTTGAACAACTGTTTGAGTGAGAGCTGTGGTTTGATGAGCTCATTTTGCCCTCATTCTCACCCATCTCATCCTCATCATCAGCCTCAGCCTCAGCTCCTGGGTAACAACATTGTTAACCCTAACATGAGGCTCATTTCTTATCAAAACCAACAACCTCTCATTTCCCACCATATGCCTAGAAGTAGGGTCCACATACACACATTCATAGATATTAACGAACCAGCAGCAGCTCAAGGCCTAGGAGGCAGCCCTCATCTTCTTCTTTCTCAGCCGAGCAGAAACAGCCCTCATCTTCTTCTTGCTCAGCCGAGCAGCAGCAGCTCTCTGAGAGCCCGTCAGGAGGTTCTGAGAAGTCAACTTCTCAGTGCAACCTCAAACGCTGAGCGCTTTCTTGGCCAGTCCATTTTCCCAAACCCTACTTCTTCTTCTTCTTCTTCTTCAGTCCTCCTAAACACCAACCCAGTGAACCGTCACCATCCAATTCATTTCGGTACTAATAACACTGCTGGTTCTACTAGTAGAGTTAACAAGAGAGCCGAAGCCTCAAGCAGTCATGCCCCTTTTAATTTTCAAAGACCAAAATATTTTAACAACTATGGTCATATATTTCCTTATCGTTCTCAAAACTCCCAGCCGCCAACAGTAATTTCTATTGAGAGTGATGATGATGTTTCTTCTTCTGATGATGAACCTATTGTGGCTGAGCCAATCAGTGTTTATATCCCAACACCTCAACCCAAACCAAGTGTGTATCAAAGCAAAGAACCAACACCTGAAGCGCCAACAAACTTTCGAAATCTTAACTCTCCAAATTCTGATGATGCTCGTCGGGATCAGTCCAATGGTGAGAGAGAGCTGCCACCATCCGCTGGCGACGGTGACGTTGGTGATTTATTAGTTGTTCCTGATGAGCATGTTGATCAGGTTGCTGTTTGTGATCTGGGAGACGGGAAAACACGCAGCCTAAAACACGACAAGAACGGGCCGTACACCTGCTCCAAATGCAGGCGGGTCTTCGAGACGTCGCAGTTCTTTGCCTCTCACTCAAGGTCCATTCACCCCAGGAGCCCTGAAGAGATAGCAAGAGGAGAAGCACTGAAAGCGGACAGAAAAAGCAAGAAGAGGGTTCCCAGGAAAGAGAAAAAGCAAGAACCAAAGAGGAAGAAAGTGAATAAGAAGAGTGCTTCCATGAAAGAGAGAGATCCAGAACCAAAGCAGAAGAGACCTAGAGTGAGTAAGAAGAGTGTGACCATGAAAGAGAAAGATCAAGAGCAGGTTGTTGCAGCTTCTGGATTTGCAGGATATGGATCTGGTCGAGAAGACCGCACAGTCACTATCGTGTTGCCTCATGGTGAGAGCTATTCCCATGAAACAATAAGAGCAAAGAAGAGGAAAGCCCGTAGTATGAATGTTCCGGCTGCAGTTGCACCAGACTCTGGAGGAGCAGGTGATGGTCAGGTGGGTGTCAAGATTGGAAAGAAGAAGGATAGCGAGAAGGCTGGACCTTCTGGATGTGGTGGAATTGACTTTGAGGGCCTATATGAGGTTGAGGTGCAGATGGAACAGAAATAAAGAACTCAGGTGCTCAACAATTGAAAGTGGTTTTAGTCTATCTATGTTTGAATATGAATTGGATCTATTATAATTAGTTTGTGTCGGAAGTTTAATAGGACAATGTGGTTTTTATTTGAGAATCTGTGTTTGGGTCTATGAATGTTCTTGGGTGTTTCCTATATGTGTTTGGGTTTAGTAGAACAATGTTGTTTTTAGTTTGTAATGTGCTTTTTTGTCTATGTATGCTCTTGGGGGTGTTTGCTATAATGTGTTTTAAAATTTAGTTATATTTAAATTGGCGCGCTTTATTGACCGTTATATTGAAATTTATGTCTAATTTAAATTGGCTGCAATACTGAACGTTATGTTACGTAGAAACTTGTTATAATAAATTTGGCGGCAACACAGACCGTTATATAAAAAGTTGGTTAAAATTACAACTTAGTTGAAATTATTTGGCGGCAACACGGGCCGTTATATAAAAGTTAGTTGTAATGCTGTTATATAAAAGTTAGTTAAAATTATAACTTAGTTGTAATTACTTTGGCGGCAATGCGGACCATTACATACAAGTTTAGTTAAAATTACATTTTCACCAACTCATACCGGTATTACTCTTCGAACGTACCATTATTAATTATCCAACTACTATTAACAATTGTGTATCTTTTTTGGTAATGACCAAATCCTATCATTAAAATCAAACCAAGCTAGAAAGTTCTAGCACATCATCCAAAACCAATAAAAACATCCACACTACTAGACCATCCTCAATCCAAAGAGTTGCAATGCAATGCAAGGGTTAGACCATTGCTAAGTAGGGTAGGCTCTGGTACAAGTTTTTGGGAAAAATAGAAATTTGATGCTAATGTTAAAAAAGTCTACCCAACTTGGTGGTAAAAATTGGTTCACTTCTTTCCTTTCCCACAAATTTGAAGACAAATCCACTCAGTCACCTAAGCATAATAGACGGATAGAAAAATTTCAACCTACCATTGTAAAAAAATTTATAGTTCCGTCCGTCTTTGCATGAAATTGTAAGATAAAGCATGTGTCACAAAATTATAGGAAAAAGATAAAAAAAGTTATATACAAATATTTTTGCTACAAGCAATACATAGCTCACTATGTAATTCACTTTAGTAATCTTGAAATTCCTGACTAAATAAGACTTAGGAAAGCAGCAGAAATGCTCTAAGGTTTTCTTGCTTATTCGTTCTTCTATATTTTTTTTTTTTTTTTTTTTTTTTTTTTTGTGAATATAATATACGCCCATCTTTGCCTAAAAAAATGTAGAACGCCTGCAAAATTGTAATTATTACAGAGGAACAATCCTAGCATGTCTTTCATACTAGATTAAAGGTTTTCTCCAGAAATAATGGCATGTAGCAGTTTTGCACTCCATGTTACTTCAGCAAGGTTTTCTAGAGGAACTGCAATATCTTCTGTGCTTTCCCTTAAAAGCACCCTGCATTCTGGAATCCATGCACTAATTAAACCACAGAATCATCAATACTCAATCGTCTCCATCGAGTGATGCATCGACAGATTCTAATCTTCAAAACTCAGAAACAAGAAATAAACCAGACACGTGTATATATACACCAGTGACACCACAGTGTTTGTTGATTTTTATGTAAAATTTGCGGAAAATAAGTTTATGTAGAAGTGACTAACCAGATATTTTGCTGAAGTTGAGCATAGACACCGAAGCAAGGATCTTCTGCTCAACCTGCTCACCATTCTTCAGCCTCTCTTTCAGTGGAAAAATGAGAGATGAGAAGGCTGTGAGCTGAAACTCAGAACCAGATAGTGAAGAAAGTGCACGGGTCAACCATTCCGCAGTGATTAGGCACACCCTCATCAAATCCAAGTTTTCAGATCCTAAACACTTTGAAAGGGTTTCTAAAAAAGACTTTTTCCCATTACCAAGCAGTGTAACTGTCAAGTTCCTCAACCAATCTTCAATGGAATTGTCTTCATCATCCTATAATTTGAAGAATTAAAACATCAGATAATTATCTTTAAACATATCACTAAAGTGATTGATTTAGAATTTTAAGTTTCTTTCACTTTAAGAAAGCGGGAAAACAGAATATGATATTGAAAATCTGGAGAAGCTATATCTAGTGACCATGGTATGAAACTATGAATATAGATGAGAAATTCTCTGGAATAAGAATACGGGGATCGAATGTATGTACCGATGGAGATGTGCCATGAGCCAGTGAACCATCTTCGTTGTCAATTGAATTCACTTCACAACTGCCACTAAAATCTGCTGGCTTTAAGATCCAACTTCGCGACAACGATTTCCCTGAGAAAGAGAAGTACCTTCTCAAGATAAGAAGTGCTTTGCAACAATTCTCTCGGACATTTGCATCAGTTAAGCTGCAATCAAGAGCCTCTGTAATTGCATCAACAGCTTCCTCTCTATGCATGCCATACTTCTGAGGTTCTACTTCTACCTGTAACAGATGGTTGTCTTAGTTAACAACATTTGATCATGCAGAATTGGAATAGAGACAGTAGCTTCTAATAAACAGAAATGGGAGTTCAAAGTATCACTGGATCATCAAATGTTGAAAGTAACCATCAAACATAGGGCAACCTCTGTGGTCTGTTTGCCTTCTTTCTATGAGCACCCACAGAGGATTAGCCTGTTTTAGGATCCCTATGCTATGGCTACTTCTTCAGAACAAGATACTTATATACCTATAATCATATCAGTAGCTTAGTATCTAAGTCACTTTTCTTTCATACCACCAGCAACCTAAACAGTTCAGATAAATGAGAGGACGTTTATCGTCCTCCCCTACCCCTCCCCTACCCCTTTCTGAGTCATCTAGCTGCGTTTCGTTAACGAGGGCTGCCCTCAGCTCTGATTCACCTCCCATGAGACTTTTCATCTCTCAACCAAGCAGCCATCAATTCCCTTCAAGTCTGAGCTCGTAAGATGAGCGGCAATAGCTAAAGTCCTATAATTACTGCAGGTATATGCACCATTAAGCATGTAGGGAAATTATTCCAGAAAATCAGAAATTATAGCTCACATTGTCGAAAAAAAAAATTTGATTGTCATATATTTTATTTTCACACAACATAATGCCTTCCACAGTGACTACTTCAGAGTTTAAGGGGGCACCACTAATGCAAGAAGGGGTCAAGCAAAGTGGCATGGCATCAAGAATAAATGGAGACAATTAGGATGGAACTTTTAGAAAATACCTGTGAACTACTTAAGGAGTGTACCAGAAGATCTACGTGTAACAAAAGTACTGCAACCAAGGGTCTGTGATTGGCTGGAGAACTCTGGAGACACACAAGCAAAACATCCATTGTATTCACAATCCCTTCATTCTGCAAGCCACTGAGAAATGTTGTGACATCTTTCTTCCTGCAATGAGAAAGAAAAGAAAAATCAATGATGAAAGGTACTAGCAGACACCATATAACCACGAACAATTACAGTTATGCAATCCCTCATCTTTCAATAGGCATTTATTAATTGTTTCAAGCCTTCAACAACCAATCCAAGTTCATCGGAAATTTCCATATAAAATTTCTTTTATATGTTGTCTCATCACCATTGTACAGTCTGTTTATGCACATATCCAAAACTAAAAGATGGCAAGGTTCTCATATAGTGGATTCTGAATTGCTCACACACATGCACAATGAAGATAAAAAGAATATATGAAGGGGACTGCTGACAGACTCATTTTGTCAATTTTAATGTGCTAACTTCAAAAAAATATCTATATATTGAGAAGCAACCAGAGCAGCTCATTTGACAAGTATTACCAGCAAGCCAATGTTACTCACCTCTTCAGGCAAATCAGTTCTGTCAACAACAACACTGCATTTGTTCTTATCTTAATCTGCTTGCTCTGAAGTAGTTCCATAACATACTGTTTGTTAATGTCTCTTGCTATTATATTCCTACAATCTGCATCTGCTTCTATACAACAGGACAACAGCGCTGCAGCACGAGATTTCTCTTCCACCTTTCCTAATTCAAACCATTGAAGAAGAAACTGCAAGCCTCCAAGAGACGTAAGGTGCTTGGCATTTTCTGTCCTTTCCTCTTTGCTGAAACAAGTGAGAAGCTGCTCTAGCATGAAGATAGCTCTCTCATCATAGTGTTTGGATCCATCTATCCCTGAGGTTCCCACTACTTGAGAGGCAAAAGCCAAGAGTTTCCTACAATGTTCAGATTTCCAACTATGAATCACACGCTTTAAGATGAGGTTGTGAAGAGGCACTGCTAGACATTCCAATGATTTTCCTGTCACAGGACATGTTCTGTTTCCTTTATCAAACCATGCCTTGATGGCTAACCGCTCAAAGGTTTGACCAGTCTCTAGAGTCACTGGATCTTCAAACAACCTTCCAGTTAGAGGGCAAATGAAGTCCTGGGGAATGCTCCAGAAAATGATTCCTTCTTCAAAGTAATTTCCATGTAACTCTGTGTCAAGGGAATGTAAACATGAGAAACAAATCGAGATGTGCACTAAAGGGTATAATATCTTAGATGTTCCTTTTGACTCACCTTCGAAAGAAGACCTTTCTTTGATTGGCTGCACTTAAAGAGAAAAATTATAAATACCATAAACTAGAAAATGACATTGTACATAGTTAAAGATTTTAGAAAGAATTCAGTACATTTACAATAGAGCTGGCAATTGATGCTTCACTGCAATTTGAAACAGTAGAACCCTCCGCTCGTTGCTGTTCATAATTGGATTTTTCACGGGTTTTGAGGGTAAGCTTATTCTCTTTTGCACATGCTGATGCATGCAGCATCTGGGTGCTTTCTGTATTTTCTCCACATATGTTATCAAAGTGATGATTTAGGTCACTTTTTGGTAGATCACTCACTCCAAGATAACCCCACTTTTGTTCTTCTGTCATTAGGAGTCCATTTTCCTACAGAAATGTTTTAGAGCATGAAATTGGATTTAGTAAAATATTTCAGATTTTTTTAACACTCTTCAGGGTGTGATATAGTTTTTATTTATAATCAATTCCAAGTAAACATTAATTGGATAAAGCTTCTTATGTTCAAGAGAAAATGAAAGGCAACACTGCTGCTAATTACTATAGAAGTTATTCATAAGACAATCCCAGCATAGAATGGGTAAACATCTATAAACCCTAGAAATTTTTAGATGTGCTTGGATAAAGAATTAATTCACACACAAAAAAAGGTTACTTACAGAAAGAAATCCATCTTCTGGTGCACTCTTAGTGGATTCTTCTTCAACATCTTGGTACCTATATTGAACTGTTTCATAAGAGTGCTGACTTGTTTGTTTAGCATCAGCTGAACCATCAGAACTTCTCATACAACTATCAAAGTTTTCTATATCTCCATCATCTTCAACCTCATCAGATTCAGGTTTACTTGAACGACCAAAAACAGAATCGTACAGTCTTTTGCTGACCATTGACTGGGGACCACCTGGACTAGGGGCCTCTGAAGAATGACTATGAGAACCTCCCTGCTGAACTTCCTGAAGAGATACAGATGGTATAGGAATGGAAGGGATTGAAGGAGATTCAGCTCCTTCTGTAAGCCAGTCCTTGTAGTAAACTGCAAATTGGTAAGTACCAGAATCTAAAATTTCATTGTATGCTTTTCCTAAAAGCTTCAGTTTCCTTGGCTTGTTTTGTCTATCTGCTAGAGAATCAGCTTCTTGATCATACCAAACCTTTAAATGTGAAAGATGCGGAAGAAACAGGTGGTCCCATAATTCAGGCAACAATGTCGTTCTTGCGTGAAAGGGTGTATCACAAAACACTTGCAAAAGATGCTTAGCTGATACCCTGTCTTTCTTCTGCAGCTTATACACCACACTGAGGTAGAGATGAGCACAAGCTGACAATTTATAGTTAGGAACCCCAGATGTAAATCCATCCTTCAAATCAGCTGAGTTCAAACCTGTAATAACACTAAGCTGCAAAGAAGCTCTTTTTAAATCCTTTTCACTTGCAGATTCCTCTGCAGCCTTTTCCACTGTTTCAATTGCCTGCTCAAGGCTGGCTATGATTCTGCTCTCAGAATGCCCTTCTTCCTGATGAATAAAGTTTAGGGAGGAGATACGGTTGTCTCTTAGTGCACTCCGGAAGTTGTCATCTTTGAGAAAACGTTTAATATATCCACTTAGGATGGAGACCATGGCTTTGATACAAATTTCATCGAGAGCGGGTTCAGAAACTGCCTGTAAGACTTTGTCATGCTTTTGACCACGAGCATCTTCAGAATTTTTGCTATATGATGAATCTCTCCTTGATCTGTCATGAGAGGTCTCAGGCTGTTTCCTGCTTTGCCTATTATTCTCACTAAAACTTGTACGTCCAGCCACATGTTTGTTTGAACTTGAACTGTGGCTATGTCTCCTATCCACCTCTGTCTCCTTCTTTGACCTCTCTTCAAATCCTTCGTTTTCCATACTTCCATCAGAATACTTATCCTTCCTTCTTTCTGAGCTATACAGTTCATTTGAATATATGTCCTTGTATCTCTCAAAGTCTTCATCATCAACCTCAACTATCTCATTTGCTGCCTGATTCTGGGGAAAAATGCTATTTAAACTTCTAGCTTCCCACACACTGCAGCTGGTAGGACCTTTTCCTCCAAGTCCATCCCTAATTTCTTTCTTTGATCCTCCTCCTATTTTGTCTCTTACAAGAAGATCTTCTCTTGGTCTCCTACCTCTAATATCATCACCTGTTGGCAGATTATTTCTCACACCATACTGAGACACATCAGACCTTGTTTTCTCTGGTCTTATTCTATCTCCTGACATGGAATGTTTCCTGTGTTCTTCTGAATTAGGAAAATGACGTATAGTTGAACCAGAATGGTAGGATGTCCTCGACCTGGTCAATGATTTTCTTCCTTTAAACCCATCTTCTGCTAGAAGATCCTCCAAAGACGATGCCATTTGTGCTGCTGATACGAAAACCTTTCTTCACACTGAATCTTATGCCAAAGAAGAAAAAAACCAAGTTTAATAGCTGAAACTAAATCTTCATCTGTTTCATACAAAACCATGCAATGAAATCCAAGAAAATCAAAAGCACTGTAAATTATGCTAAGAAGAAACCACTAGAGCAGAATATCCTCTGGATGTTACCAGTAAATTGGACGTAAGATTTGATCAACTTATCCCTATAAATACTTCAAAGCACATGTCTGCCACCTAAAAATTTTATGTTTCTTAGTATCCTGTAATCATAAGTTGAAAACTTTTTTCCTCAATGAATGGTGAACAATGACCAGTAATAAGAGGCTACTCATCCAGTGTGATTAAAATTCATTTAGAAAGAGAAACAGAACCAAAGAGACAATAAAAAATTGGAAAAAGAAAGAACCACAGAGATTTGACAAATGCAAGCATTACCTTGAACCTATAATCTACTTCATAAACACCAAATTTTCCTACCCTCTTGAACCAAAATCCAATATTTTGAATCATAAACTCATTTACTCCTTTGACTAATGATCTAAACTTACTTTGAGTCGGTCTAAAAACCAAGAGAGCTTCATATAGTATATATTATATATATTCTGTAAAGATGTCATTTTTCTCACCTTCAAGCTCTCCTCAGCGAAATTCAAGGCACTTGAGAAAACTTCAGGCAAAACCCAGTTGCCGAGATGCCAAAGGCATATTAGTAGTTGAATGCCTGGAACTCAAACTACTGGCTCCGCAGTTGGCAGTTGGCAGTTGGCAGTTGGCACAGCAACAATCCAAGAAGAAGAAAAGATTTGGTTTTGAACTCCAAGGAAGAATGTGGTGGAGGGAATCTTAGCAAGGAACAAGTAGGGAATGAAAGAGATGCTGGTTAAAGAAAAAACATGAGCTGGGTTTGTTTATAAATTAAGGACTGCAAGCCATAAGATAAAACAAAAACAAATGAGAAATTGATGGAGAATTGTAACAATAGGCAACGAGGCAATCACTGAGAGAGAGGGTGACAAATGAAAGCTGACAAATGAGAGTGAGAGAGGGACAGAGAGGGAGTTTTTGAAAGACAACAAATAAATAAATGGAGTATTTGATTGTGTATGAGTTGTGTCATCTGTGACTCTTTCAACTCAACTATGCGTCTCTCTGTATTTGCAGGCTGGCTTGCTGCTGTTTTCAAACTCTTTCAACTGCCGCCCCTTTTAATTAGTCAGTTTATCATTGGCCACTTTTTTTCAGTGTTTAAAAAAAATATATATAACCCGTGCTAGTTGCCATGCAAGCAATCCAGAAAAAATTCAGTGCTAGATATTGATTATAAATAAATAAATAAAATTTTAATTTTTTAAGGAAGGAAACAAATTTGCTTCTTATAGACAAATCACAGTGTAACGTGTAAAGAGTCGAGCATTATTTCATAAGAGATGAATATGAATGAAAAAAATTAATCTAATATGTTCCAACATCTCAATCCGAAAAGAATAAATGGAATAGAAAAGAAGGAATTGAAATTGATCATGAAATGACTGACTCTAAGATGGGGTCCATATTTGCATCCAAATCTCGTATCACCAGACATCTAACTTAAATAATGGAGTAATTAGTGTAGCATAGTTCATTTCAGATAGTAGGTTAGTTTGCTACATTTTTAAAAGAAGAAGCCAAGTCCATACAAAGTGAAGAGGGCGTTTTGTGTGTTTTACAAATATTTGCACCTGTGGCTGGGACTTTTGATCATAGCAAAAACCAAATGGAAGTCAAACTTATGAATAGAGAAAAAAATTGGAGAAGGTAAAATTCGAGCGTGGGTAAACTTGACATTATAATATATATGCTGTAATTATTACAATATAACACATGCATCTTACGGAATTTGTAATTCTCCCCTTCAATATGGGTTTATTTATTCCCTCCTATGTAAGTGTTTTTGGTGAGCCCGGTATTAGCAATCTAATTTAAAACTAGGACTTAGTCCAAACCAGTTTAGCCTGTGTAACAAACAAGTTTAAGCCTAACCTCTGTATAAATTAGCGGGCTCACAACGGAAAGTCTACATAAAAATATGGGAAAACTTCAAATTATAACCATTGGTGCAAATGTTTGTACGACGTTAGAAAAGCCAATCAACCAAATGACACAAGGCATGGTTTGATAATTTAGCCATGAATTTTATCATATCTACATAGATACAAATATGCCATTTTAATAACATCTGAAAAATTGACAGGGCTGCCGTCAGTCAAGTGGAACTAACAAAAATGCAACCCAAAGACATTAATAATTACAGCATATACCGACAAACTATTGTTTAACGAGCCTGCGGGAAGGAAGTAGCACGGCAATCAAAAAATTGACTTGAAAGCTGCTCTTGTAACTAGCATGGTTACTCCTTGTTCCGGGACGAACGATCCTTCCGTTGCCCACCAAGAATACGAGAAATCTGTAAACCTCTGCTGAATGCTTGGTTGAAGAGCATACGGGTTTGGAATTCAGAAACGAAAGGAAACCAGGCCAAGAATGCAACCGGGGTGAATAGAAGCAAACCCATAACAATCTCAAAGCCGCGAGCAAGAGTCCGAACTGATGGCCATAAACCAGCCTTGTGGACAACAGGCTTGCAAGCTTGTGCAATCTGGTAAGAGATAGGAAGACAAAATGACATTAGGAAATTCAAGGACAGAGAAATGCACACAATTGCAAGATGCAATTACAACCTCATTATATGGTGCAAATTTTAGTTTTGGGAAATCTCCAAAACAGAGGGTTGAAAATCACCATATCACCCTTATTCTAAGAAATTAACAAATCCAAGTGGGTCGGATCTGAAGATGGTACCACGGCTACCTGTGTGCTAAGAAGTTTGGTTCAGGGATCTTATAGCCCAATTTTCAGTTTAGGATTAAAGAAAACACAACATTGTCGTTATATCCAGAGTGTATTTGCAACACTGAACTAAGGTAAGGCAAGACTGGAACATTCACTCACCAGAAGAATTCCCCAACCAGTTGGCATGAAAGCAAGAATGCACACAATGATATCCTGCAGCGTCATGTGAGGCAGCACAATCAAAGTCACCAAAATGGACACAAAAGTTATGAATATTAGTCCCTTTATTAGCCGGAACACTAGTTGAAACTCTGCACTGAACTTTCGCCTCCCAACGGATACAGTCTGGAAAGAAAGAGAAACAATTAAGTACATTTGTCGAACTATATATTTCTTTTGATGGAGAAAATACTGATAATATTAGTAAGTATAATCAATGTGGACCAGCAGTCCACGAAAATTCAGAAACAAGCCACCAGATAAAAGGAAAAAGACAAATAACAGAAGCTTGCAAATGCTGTCCAAGAACACGTAGAAAAGGAATGAGATTCACAAACGAGAAAGGGAAACAAAAAATGTCTAAAATCAGATCTATGCACCAAACACCCAAACAACTGAACTGCAGGAATCCGAATGGGCAAAGCAAAAGCCTAAAGTTGCCTCACAACCAGATTATAACTAGGTAGCAAACACAGTATTAGTTTTGCAAAGCAATTACTAAAGCTAAGCAGCCAGCCTATATTGTGGAAATTATGTATGTAGAGCACTTTTTCTATTCTATGTTGATAAATAAGCCAATATGAATACAATTTGGACTCACCTTCATAACAAACAAAATAAGGAAGATCACCAGCCAAGAGATACCATAGACCTGTTACCAAGTGAATGCAATATAACAATAAGTTTGCAATTGTCATATCCTAAAAGAAAAGAAAATAGGATTTGGGTGGGGAAGAGGGAATGGAGGGAAATAGATCAGGTTCATTATTTACCAGAACACTCTTGGTTTTCTTGGCAATGTTCAAGTGATAGACGAGCCCATACTGATAGATAAAGAACCGTAACGATAACAGTATCTCAGCTACAATACCACGCTTCCCAGAATGCTGGAGATGCTCTTGTTCCTCCTCCCACCATGATTCCCAGCTTTTTTCAGGGGGAACACCTATACCCCCACGGTTACTTATCCACTTATTCCAATCTGTCCAATCATCAACTATCTTTTGCCACTCAAAACCAGAAGGATTGAACAAAAAGGGAGCAAAAAGCCAGGTGCCCACCATAAACCACATAGATACTGTGATCAAAATGTACGCAACAGCACTTCTATAAGTATGGCCAAAGATCTGGTACACCAGAAGTAAAACTAAGAGTTCAATACCCTTAACAAAGTGGCTGCGGGAATAGAGCCTATAGTTATCAGCAAACTTAGCATGGAAAACCACAAACCCACGGCCTGTAGGTCTATATTTTGCACCACCATGAAGTAATGTTCGTCCATAATAGTGGGTCTTTGTTCCGAGTGAGAACGTAAAAAATACTGGGGCCAATTGCAATTGCATCAATATGAATTCACTTAGTGCAGTTCGGAAACCCTTTTCCAAACCAATTTCCATCAACATAGGCAACGCCATCAAAAATCCTATTTGAACAAATGATTGAGAAGCAAGAGCTACTTGAAGAGGCTTATTATCTCGGATTGCCGGTTGAGTGCTCAAACCCTCTTCAAGTCCACTAAGAACTAGGTAAAGGCGTCCATAAAGGAAGACATACACGGTAAGCACTGTAATCTGCCACAAAAACATTCTTCCATGTTCAGAACCTTTAACTAACTACATATATTATTTTTTCAAGAACAAAGTACATAACAGTTGAAACTGAAACTAAAAAGCAGCATACCAGAGTACTGTAGTAGAAACCAATTGTGGTGAAATAGCACGACAACATACGGAAAAAGTCAAAACGGTGTCCAAGTCGGTATATATCTCGACTGAGTGTTTGCTCCCCATTTCCATTAGCGATTTTTGCTTCAAACATTGAGATCTGGTTAAGGCCCACATCTCTTCCCTTCCCAACTTGTATGTACTCATGATGAGTTACATTGCCTTCACGGAGTGTGGAATTAAAGCCTGCATCCAAATCCATAA